TGTGTGTATGTATGTCTGTCAGTATGTGTGTGTGTATGTCTGTCAGTATGTGTGTGTGTATGTTTGTCAGTATGTGTGTGTGTATGTCTGACAGTATGTGTGTGTGTATGTCTGTCAGTGTGTGTGTGTATGTCTGTCAGTATGTGTGTATGTCTGTCAGTATGTATGTATGTCTGTCAGTATGTGTGTATGTATGTCTGTCAGTATGTGTGTGTGTGTGTGTGTCTGTCTGTCAGTATGTGTGTGTATATGTATGTATGTCCTTATGCGTGTTTGTGTCTGTAAGTATGTTAGTATGTGTATGTGTGTCTGTATAGGTCTATGTGTCTGTTTCACTATATATATTGTTGAAAAAGAATGTAAAATTATAGTGCGGCCCACATCAGTGTCTGAGGGACTGTGAACTGGCCCCCTGTTTAAAAAGTTTGAGGACCCCTGATTTAAACTAAACCTTTCTCTTTTTCTGTATATTAAATAGATTTGGCGCCATAATTTCTCCTTTCCTGGATTTAGAACATTTTTAGCCATCTGGTCACTGTCCTATCCTCTTTTAATTTGCATGGTACTCCATTTATTGGATTTCACTCGATGGACTTAGGCCTCAATTGAATATTTTTTAATACACTTATCAAATGATTTAAAATTTTTCGATAAACTTTAAAATGACTTAATATTTCAAACATTATGATTTTATATTTTGCTATTTTTTTTGTGATCTGCGTCCCATCTCCGATCTTTCATCCTCGGAGTCCTGTTGCAGCTCGTCCCCAGTGTTCCAGGCGTCCTCTCCTCCCAGCAGGTACTTCAGGCCGCGGCTTGGCACCTAGTAGGCCCGAACTTTGTTTTTCGGCTTGGCCTGTCTTGGGCTATACCGGAATGGCATCTGTGTGATGCTGGAGGTTCATTAATTTAATTCAACATATCAACTCGAAAAAAACTTCTTCTCTGCTCCTTGGACGCAGAGAAGGCGTTTGACAGGATACATTGGGGGTACCTTTGTAACACAATAGCAGATTCTATATATCCCCTGTGACAGAACCATCTGTCTGCTGGATTTTTGCCCGTTCGTCTGTTTGTCCCCGTTCGTATGAATGGCTGGTTTCTATAGCCCAGCCATTCGAATGACTCTTTTTCCCGAACAAAACCGCCGAACGAACGGCCACCCAAGTGAGGAGTGTGCTGCAGGTTAACGAAGTGATCACCATTATAACGTTGTGGTTAACCGCAGACACTTCTCAATTAAACCGAACTCAGGGTGGTCGTCGTTCGTATGTCGACCACGAGGCAGCGGCCATTTTAAATCATGCGAGCGCTCAGCGGTGTTTGGCTCTATTTCTATGGAACGGAAAACGGACACTTTTTCTGTCGAACACCGCTGAAACAAGGGAACGCCTGGCTGCCTCCACGAAAGCATGCGAACATCGGCCGTTCGGGAGATTGAGAACACACAAAAGACTTAACCCAGATAGCCCACCCATGGAGTCATTCGTGTACCGAAGGACTGTAAGAACTTTGACTCCATGGCGATTGAACTATGTGTGTGGGATCTGAGCGCTATTCGCCAATAATATGCACTCAGATCCAGGCTATCTGGGGACATGTAATACGAATGGGAAATGTTCAGTTTTCATGTAGTTATGCATTTTTGTGTCTTTTATTATTTCATGTTTAAGATGGCGACTGTCCTTGTCCTGGAGTTAATTGAGTTACTTGGTAATTAACTCCAGGACAGAGGGGAGGGAATCAGAATGTACTGTGGGTAAAATATGTGACTGTGTGTCAGAAATGTCCTGCTATCTGTCTGTACTTTAAGTCTTCCATTTGGTCCCCTAGGGGAGTGTCCACCAGGTGGGAGACCTGCATAAATACGGGCAGGTAGCCCACAGTAAACCCAGATCTTATTTGACCCTCAATGCGGAGCTTCTGTCTCGTTATTGGGGGGATTTCTTCTTCACGTTTAGAGACTGCTGGATGGAACGAAAGCCGCTTTGGGGATATTATTGTTCGACGGTTCCTAGCAGTTCGTATATTGCCGTTCGGGAGTTTGGAGCCGTTCGTGGATTTCGATCGGGAGATTGCCGCTTCCCCTGCATTTGGTTCGTGGGTTACAGAGTAAGCGAACAGAGACTGTACTGCAGCCGGGGAAGGTTTACTAAACGGCGGTTTGGCTTAAAGACACGGGAGGTGTCTTAACAATTGGTGGCAGCGGTGGGATGAATCCTACAGCACTGGAGGTCAGCTACAAGACATGCAGTACGAGGAATTAAGGCGTGCTACACTTAAGGACATATTGGAACGCCGAGGAAGGTCAGCAAGCAATTTAAAGAAACGGGAGATTATTGCTTTGCTAATGGAGATGGATGCAGCAACGGGAATGGAAAGAGTCAACGTGCCCAGTACCTTGGATTTAACACCCGAGGAAATACAATTCAACCGGGCAGTACAAATAAGGCTGGCACATTTTGGCCCCAACCCCTCAGCTGACATCGTGGTTCGTGTGCAGGCAGCAGTTGCAACACAACAGGCAGCCCGGGAAAGAGGAGCTGCAGCAGCAGAGGTACCGTATGACAATAATGTGGTTGCTAGAAAAAAGGTACCTTTTGCTGCGTTTAAAAATTTTGTGGAAACAGAGGGAGAGATTGATGGATTTTTGGCAGACTTTGAGAGGCAGTGTGCGCTACATCAGGTACCTGCAGATGAATGGGTCACCATCCTCTCTGGGAAACTATCTGGCCGGGCTAGTGAAGCTTTTCGGGCCATCCCAGAGGAGGAGATCACCAGCTATCGGGCTGTGAAAGAGGCGCTCCTAGCCAGGTATGCAGTAACCCCAGAGGCGTACAGGCGGAGGTTTAGAGAAACCAACAAGCTGGTTGGGGACTCTTATGTGGAATGGGCCTGCAGAGTCCATCGTACCGCAGCCCACTGGATGGCTGGATGCCAAGCGGTAACTGGGGAGGAGGTGTTACAAGTGTTCCTGCTGGAGCACTGCTTTGATAGACTACCTGCTGGGGTCCGGGAATGGGTCAGAGACAGAAAACCCTCTACCCTACCCGAGGCTGCCCGTCTGGCAGACGAATACACGGATGCCCGCAAGTTGGATGGTACAGCTGCTAAAGCCCCTGCCAGACTGGAATATCGACCAGCAGTAACACCCGCTCCTGCAGTCTACCAACCCCCAGTACACCGTACCCCAGCTGCACCACCAGCTAACAATTATATGCAACCAGCCCGATTTAATGCCCGGGAGTACTCCCAACCCATCCGGTGCTATGGGTGCAAGCAGTTGGGGCACAAGCGTCCTGAGTGCCCCCTGAACAGTGCCAACCAGGCTCAGTCCTGGAGGAGACCAGTTAACGGAAACCAGCGCCCACCTCAGCCTGCTGCTCACTGCCTAGAGCAGGAGGAATTTTGGGGCATTCTGCACGAGGCAGACCCAGTGCAAGCGGCTCACCAGGATAATCGCCAGCAACATCGGCAAACTGTGAAGCTAAATGGCAGAGTGGTGAATGGGCTGAGAGACACAGGAGCCACGATGACACTGCTCCAAAAGAACTTGGTCTCAGAGCATCAACACACTGGAGACACTGTGGCAGTAAGGGTAGCAGGGGGTGCCGTGTTTCGCTTACCTGTTGCCCGAGTACATTTGGATTGGGGAGTGGGCGCTAGGCATGTGGATGTGGGGGTGATGAAGGACTTGCCCGCAGATGTTCTTTTGGGAAACGATTTGGCCCCTTTGGTTTCAGCCTATGCTCCGATGGGCCCTGCAGACGTGAACCCAGTGACCACCCGTGCCCAGACCCGTGCTGCCGGAACCAGCCCACTTGCTGACGAGACCCAGGTAAGATCTCCTTCCCCGACTGATACCCCAGATCAGGTCCCCTTAAGCTGGGATTCCCCAGAGGAGTTTGGGAGGGAAACCCGGGCGGATCCGACCCTCCAAAGATACAAGGACAGGGCAGAGGCTGGGGAGGAAGGAATAGATGGGGAACGGTATGAGTGGGTGGGGGACAGGTTATATAGGATCCCTAAACCTTCCCAGAAGAGTGTTGCCTCTCCGCCGAATCGCCAGTTAGTGGTACCTGCAAAGTACCGGCAGGAGATTCTGCGGATAGGGCATGATGTTCCTTTAGCTGGACATCTAGGGTCCCGCCGCACAGCCTATAGGATTTCACAGAACTTCTTTTGGCCAAACTTTAACCAGGCTGTGCGGATGTACTGCAGCACGTGTGACACATGTCAACGGGTAGGAAAGCGGGGGGACCACCCTAAGGCTAGGCTATTATCGATGCCTATTATAGGGGAGCCCTTTGCCCGCATAGCCGTTGACATTGTGGGTCCACTGGCCAGGGCTAGTCCATCCGG